CTGTGATCACCAATAGTCAGCATGGATTTCTGAAAATAAGTCACGTCAGACTAACCTGATCTCTTTTTTGACATAATTACAAGCCTGGTAGATGAAGGGAACGCAGTGGATGTAGCCTACCTTGATTTCAGCAAGGCATTTGACAAGGTGCCCCATGATATTCTTGTAAAGAAGCTGGTAAAATGCGGTCTTGATTATGCTACCACTCAGTGGATTTGTAACTGGCTGACTGACCGAACCCAAAGGGTGCTCATCAATGGTTCCTCTTCATCCTGGAGAAGAGTGACTAGTGGAGTGCCACAGGGTTCTGTCTTGGGCCCGGTCTTATTCAACATCTTTATCAACGACTTGGATGATGGACTCAAGGGCATCCTGATCAAATTTGCAGATGACACCAAATTGGGAGGGGTGGCTAACACCCCAGAGGACAGGATCACACGTCAAAATGACCTTGACAGATTAGAGAACTGGGCCAAAACAAACAAGATGAATTTTAACAGGGAGAAATGTAAAGTATTGCACTTGGGCAAAAAAATGAGAGGCACAAATACAAGATGGGGGACACCTGGCTTGAGAGCAGTACATGTGAAAAGGATCTAGGAGTCTTGGTTGACCACAAACTTGACTTGAGCCAAGAGTGTGACGTGACAGCTAAAAAAGCCAATGCAATTCTGGGCTGCATCAATAGGAGTATAGCATCTAGATCAAGGGAAGTAATAGTGCCACTGTATTCTGCTCTGGTCAGACCTCACCTGGAGTACTGTGTCCAGTTCTGGGCACCACAGTTCAAGAAGGACACTGACAAACTGGAACGTGTCCAGAGGAGGGCAACCAAAATGGTCAAAGGCCTGGAAACGATGCCTTATGAGGAACGGCTAAGGGAGCTGGGCATGTTTAGCCTGGAGAAGAGGAGGTTAAGGGGTGATATGATAGCCATGTTCAAATATATAAAAGGATGTCACATAGAGGAGGGAGAAAGGTTGTTTTCTGCTGCTCCAGAGAAGCGGACACGGAGCAATGGATCCAAACTACAAGAAAGAAGATTCCACCTAAACATTAGGAAGAACTTCCTGACAGTAAGAGCTGTTTGACAGTGGAATTTGCTGCCAAGGAGTGTGGTGGAGTCTCCTTCTTTGGAGGTCTTTAAGCAGAGGCTTGACAACCATATGTCAGGAGTGCTCTGATGGTGTTTCCTGCTTGGCAGGGGGTTGGACTCGATGGCCCTTGTGGTCTCTTCCAACTCTATGATTCTATGATGATGATACTAATAATACTAATAAATGCAGACAAATCTGATGATCAAATTAGGAGATTCTCAGCACAGCAGAGTGCATATAAGAACCTCTTAAGAATAAGAAAATGAGAGTTATGCTAATAAATTTTTGAAAGATCTTGGGGAAGCCATTATTTACAAAAATGCAACAATACTTGGCTGGAGAATTACATTGCATTGCAAAATTCAGGGAAGCGCAAATTTCAAATGACAGCTATGTTTCAGTTCATGTATTGTTTTCAGAAAGTGCAAATTTGGTAGGTTTCCCCTTTAATGTGAACTGAATTCATTTTTCCCTCCCTTGCTATTCTTCTGTGCTGCACCCTGGATTGGAGGCAGGCGGGTTTCTAAGTAAAGGCAGAGTCTAGTTTCCACCTCTAGGGCCCTGCTCCTGTGACCTTGCTGGGAGAAGACCCGGCAAGATTTGGACCCTGAAGTCTCAGAATCTGTGATGTTCCTGACCTGATAAATCTCTTCACCTTACACTCCCAAATGCTGCTTTGTATTCAGGCACAATTTCAGGGAGGGTCTTGGCAGCGCCGGCTCAAGACATTTTGCTACCTGAGGCAAAGGACAAGATTCAACACTGGTAGTTGAATATTACCCCAGTACTGGTGAAACATCTTCCACTGCACTTGAGGGCAGCAGCCTGGCATAGGTACAGGGCAGGCCACATGGCACACACAGCTCTGGCCACTCCTTGCACTTCAACATCTCCTGAATGAGGCAGGTGCCTCACTTTGCCTCATTGTAGGGCTAGCCCTGGGCCTGGGAGCCTCCTTGAGGAGAGCTTAAGAAGCATCCTCACACTCCAGAGAGCACCGCTCCCTGCCGTCCCCACTCCACCCCATGCTGCCATGCCAGAAATATTAAATTATCTCTCATTTCCTAGAGCCCACAGGGAAAGACAGTTCAAAAGCAAGGCTGTAAGGAAACCTAATAGGGAATATTAATCCTCATTTTACCCGTTTTGATCAGTGTGTGTGGAATCATAATTGCAGTAATAGCGCTTGACATTTCCTCAGCACCTTTCGGTGAAGACTGGCTAGGCGATCTGCACATCGGCCTGGATTTAATATGACAACCTGCCAGGAGAGTGTTTAAATATTGCTGTCTAGAGAACTGCACTCTGGACCCATATGACATACAAGGGATATGGTTGCCTTATTTCAAAAAAACAAAATTCCTGACACCCGCAAAATTGTTGAGCTTTTTAAGGGACACCTAAACTGAAAAATCCCAAAACAGAATTAAGATTCCCGGAAGAAATATCAACAACCTCAGATATGCAGATGACACAACCTTGATGGCAGAAAGTGAGGAGGAATTAAAGAACCTCTTTGTGAGGGTGAAAGAGAAGAGCGCAAAATATGGTCTGAAGCTCAACGTCAAAAAAACTAAGATCATGGCCACTGGATCCATCATGTCCTGGCAAATAGAAGGGGAAGAAATGGAGGCAGTGAGAGATTTTACTTTCTTGGGCTCCAGGACCACTGCAGATGGTGATAGCAGTCACAAAATTAAAAGACGCCTGCTTCTTGGGAGAAAAGCGATGAAAAACCTAGACAGCATCTTAAAAAGCAGAGACATCACCTTGCCAACAAAGGTTCATATAGTTAAAGCTATGGTTTTCCTAGTAGTGATGCATGGAATGAGAGCTGGATCATAAAGAAGGCTGATCACCGAAGAATTGATGCTTTTGAATTCTGGTGCTGGAGGAGACCCTTGAGAGTCCCATGGACTGCAAGAAGATCAAAGCTATCCATTCTGAAGGAAATCAGCCCTGAGTGCTCACTGGAAGGACAGATCCTGAAGCTGAGGCTCCAAGACTTTGGCCACCTCATGAGAAGAGAAGACTCCCTGGAAAAGACCCTGATGTTGGGAAAGATGGAGGGCACAAGGAGAAGGGGACAACAAAGGACGAGATGGTTGGACAGTGTTCTCGAAGCTACCAGCATGAGTTTGACCAAACTGCGGGAGACAGTGGAAGACAGGAGTGCCTGGCATTCTCTGGTCCAGGGGGTCACGGAGAGTCGGACACGACTAAACAACTCAACAACAACAACCCAAAAATAGTGATTTTAAGCTTTTTGAGCTGCTTCTGCCATACACCTGGATTTTCCCTGACATTTCCCCCCGATGCCGTTTTTACACCTGAAAACCAGGACATGCCTAGGCATGGAACAACAGCCCTCTTTTGCTCTTGCTACTCAGTGGCTGGTGTCCAAATATAGATTGCCACTGCTACTGGAGATTCCAAGCAGCCTTTGTGACCCATTTCGCCTCCATGATTCTGTCTAAGGAACCTCAGTTAGTAGCTAGTCACCATGCACCTGGTGACAGCAAATCCCATGGTTTAACAATATTTGCTTAGTGAAGAAGTCCTTCCATTGTTATGTCCAGAACCTCCTCTAACACTCAATATTGGTGAATGATCCCCACAGGAGAGTCCTGCTTGCTGGTTCACCATGGGGGCGTCGGGTTGGCTACTGTGAGAACAGGATGCTAGGCTGGGCTGCACGGGCCACTGGCCTGATACAGAACAGCTTCTTCTTAAGTCCTTAATTCAGTCTTTCTGCATAGGGCAGCTGTTCCTGTCCCCTGAGCATGTGGGCTCTCCTTTTTGGCACCTCTCCCCAACTTCTCTTGAGAGGCTGCATGCATGCACCTGTCTCAATCCTTCCTAGCTCTGCTCTGCTGTCTAGGGCATTGGCACATTGCTGGACTCAGGGCCAGCCTTTTTTTCCTTTTTGCGCTTCCAGCCACATCTCTTCATCTCTCTGCCTTGCCACGCCTCCTTGCGCTGAGGTGACATTGATTTCTGTCTACTCTTTCCAACTTGGGTTGCCATGGTGACAGATTCAGTTTCTCCGCTGTGCTGGGCTTTTTTCCTCCAGTTCAGCGTGCTCTGGGGAGAGAGAGAGAGAAACCGTTCAGCAGCAGGCAGGCGGAGTGTGTGTCTGGCATCGCTTTCTCCTGGTGGCCACTGTTGATAATGTCAGTGGCAGTGTCATGGGTAATTTGACAAAACGATGTCAGGAAGGCACTGGAATCTCTTTCTCTTTTGCAATGCTGGGCAGTGGCCCTTGACCAGAGCCAGCAGTCCGTCGTCTTCTTGTGTTATTCATCTCACTCAGGGCCTAAGACCTTCCCTCTGCTGGTGCCCAATCCAGCGGGAGACCCACAACAGACCCTCTGAGCAGCTGAGAGAAGAGGTTGCTGGGCAAGACACACCTTTGCTGTGACCTGGCCAGAGGTCTCTTCTTGGGTTCTTAGGCCTCAGGGGCCAAAAGAACCAAACACACACCAAAAACAATAATTAAAAAACAACCATACATTGAAAGAAATAAAACTATAGACATATTTAAAATCTATAAGACCATTTAAATATATAGACAAAAAACAGTTCAGCACCAGCCCTTTCCTTAAAAGCAGTCAGTTTCCCAAAGCCTGTTGGAACACTTGCTGGTAGAAGGACAACAAGGTGGGAACCACTCTCTAGGGAGGAAGTTCCAGAGGCTGGGAGCAGCCACCAAGAAGGCCTGCTCCTGCATCTCTACCAAAAATATTTAATGAAGGTGCCAGGTGAGCCTCCCTGGGGAAAACATTCCACAAATGGGGAGCCACTGCAGAAAAGGCCCATTCTTGCTTGCTACCCTCTGAACCACCCATGGAAGGGGCACACAAAGAAGGCCTCTGATGATGATGATTTTCACATTAAACTGCAAGCAAGGCGGAGAGCTTAAAAGCTCTTTTTGCACTAGGTTTTCCCAGTGCAAAAATAGCTTTTAAGTTCTCCACCTTGCTTGGGGATGCAAGGCTCATGGCATATGCAGGCTCTGGAAGACTAGGGATGGTTCCAAAGGGTGGTTTGAGTATATACACGTTTTTGTTTAAACATAGAGCCCTTGGAACTGGGGTGCCTGCGCTTACCCAGGGTTCATTTTCCTTAGAATGAAAGTCATGTCTTCAGGATATATGGTTTTATTTCCATACAACCTGAGCATAGGGTGGAGGGTCTCACAGCACTGACACTCCCGTAGTTCTTGTTTGCCCATTAAGTTTCCAGGGAAGCTCCCAAACTCATCTTTGGATCCAGCACAGAGCAAAGCATGTCTCTAAGTCTCCAGCTTCCAGCCTCAGCCATATTCTCATGAACAGCATTCTGGCTATTGATCTTCTAAATTTACAAGATGATGTTGCCTCCAACTGGGTGAGGGTGGTAACCCCATTTGCCTTTATGGCAACAGGGAAATGTAAATGGCCTACTAAGACCATAACCTTAACAAAGGAACTTTGGGCTGGTTTCCTCTTAAAGATTCTACCCTCACCTACACAGGATCACAGGTCTGGAAGGTGTCATCCATACTGCCCCCCCCCCAAAGCAATACTGGACTTTTTTGTTGCAGGGGGGTGGCAAGGAGAAGTGCTGAGGCAAGGATGGAGCTTGCAGTAGGGAGGGGGGAAATTTATATTGGCTTTTCTCAGTTTCTTCTTTTTCCCAATCTTACATTGAGTTCGCCACACTAGCATGAAATTTCTTTTTTTTAAAATCCATTTGAAAATTAATCAGTGTTTTTGCACGGATTACTCTCAATATGCATATTTTTATATGCATTTTGGCACACTTTTTCAAGCCATTATCCCTATGCCAATGCATTTTGCATCCCCCCTATTAATATATGCATATGTATGCACATTTTGTTGTTGTTTAGTCGTTTAGTCGTGTCCGACTCTTCGTGACCCCCTGGACCAGAGCACACCAGGCCCTCCTGTCTTCCACTGCCTCCTGCAGTTTGGTCAGACTCATGCTGGTAGCTTCGAGAACACTGTCCCACCATCTCGTCCTCTGTCGTCCCCTTCTGCCGCAGAGCAGCAGAAAGGCCAAACTGCTCAGGACCATGGCAGTAGAAGCAGGAAACTTGTCTGTGGTTTGAACTACTTCAGGCTACGAATGGGGATTTGCCCAAGTGATTGTTACACACACACACACACACACACACACACACACAACCCCACAAATGTGTCAGGGAGAAGGTAAGGCAAAGGTTCCTTCTCAGGAGATACTTTTTACATAAAGGATCCTGCTTTCCTTTCCACCCTGTCACGTGAGCCCCCATCTTTAGTCAATACAGTGGTACCTCAGGTTACAGACGCTTCAGGTTACAGACTCCGCTAACCCAGAAATATTACCTCGGGTTAAGAACTTTGCTTCAGGATGAGAACAGAAATCAGGTGGTGGAGGCAGCAGGAGGCCCCATCAGCTAAAGTGGTGCATCAGGTTAAGAACAGTTTCAGGTTAAGAACGGACCTCCAGAACGAATTAAGTTCTTAACCCGAGGTACCACTGTATTCCACCTCATTATTAAAATCCCTACTTGTTTCTGTAATCCTTTGTTTCAGTTCCACTCATTATGTTACATGCAACTTTGGCTGGGGTAGGGGATGTCCGACCGACAGTGGTCTTTTTCTTTTTTACATTTTGATGGGGTGGCAGGCGTTGATTTCAGCTGCCCTTCTTGGCAGCAGCCATGATCCTCCCAGAATGCCTCAGGTGTTCATTCATAACATGTCATTCCAGGGTGGGGAACAGTTATAGCTGCCATGCATGCCCACATACAAAGGTACCTGTCACCAGCTCTTGTGGTTGCTTCACACAGACACACACACACAGGTGGGGTGGGGTGGGGGGAAAGCCCAACACAACACAATATCAAGGGGATTTGGCTGGGAGGGCATCAAGGGGCAGCTGCCCAATTAATTCCTGCCAGAGACAAGGGAGCCACCCACCCCAAATGGTAGAGATTAGTACAAGTGGAAATCCCATACATTCCTCTCTTTGCTGTTTTCTGGAACAAATGGAAACCAAGCTAAATGGTTCCCATTTGGTTCAACAAATGTTCTGATGTGGTGCTGTCCCGTTCTATCACTCCAGCTGGTATTTTGGGAAACTAGCCCTGAGTGGTGAACCAGAACACACACACACACACACACACACACACACACACTTAAAATCTTACCTTTGCAAAGGATAAGGGTAGAGGAACTGTAATTCCACAGGAGTTCCAGCTCCCATCAGCCGCAACCAGCATGGCTAGTGGTCATGCCAGTGGCTAGTTGTCTAGCCATATCCAAAGAGCCACACCTGCCATGAACTCCGCAGGTGGTTTTGCATAAATCTCTTTCTCCTCAGTCCACCACTTTGCCCTCCCAGTAAAATAAGGCCAGGCCCTACGCTATAAGGTTTTTATTTATTATTTATTGCATGTATATTCCACCTTCTCTCCAAGGAGTTCAAAGCGGTGTATATATGACTCCCCTCCCCTCCTGATTTAATCCCAACACCAAACCTGAGCAGTAGATTAGGCTGAGAGGCAGTGACCCAAAGGTCAAAGGTCACCTTGTGAGCTTCATGGATGGGTGGGGGATGTGAACCCTAGTTTTCCTGGTCCTAGTCTGACACTCTAATCTAGCCACTACAGTACACCACACATTACACATGGGGTTGGGGATGATGATACTATGGACCTACCTTGCAAGTTTGGTGTAAGAATTATTAGAATACTGCATGAATTTGGGAAGTGCTATATCGGTGCTGTATTCTAATAATTCTTACACCAAACTTGCAGTGCTGCGGGACGCGGGTGGGGCTGTGGGTTAAACCACAGAGCCTAGAACTTGCCAATCAGAAGGGCGGCGGTTCGAATCCCCGTGACGGGGTGAGCTCCCATTGCTCAGTCCCTGCTCCTGCCAACCTAGCAGTTCGAAAGCACGTCAAAGTGCAAGTAGATAAATAGGTAGTGCTGCAGCAGAAAGGTAAACGGCGTTTCCGTGCGCTGCTCTGGTTCGCCAGAAGCGGCTTGGTCATGCTGGCCACATGACTCAGAAGCTGTACGCCGGCTCCCTCGGCCAGTAAACGAGATGAGCGCTGCAACCCCAGAGTCGTCCGCAACTGGACCTAACAGTCAGGGGTTCCTTTACCTTTACCTTATATCAGTGCTAAGTGTTCATATTAGTTAAAGAAGTGGAAATAGTTATGGAAAGCAAATGAGATTAATACCCTGGTTATGAATCTTTTTAAAAAATTATTTCATTTATGATTTTCAATTTTATACATTTCAATAATTTTATAATCATTTTAACATTTCAAAACTTGACTTCCTTTCCTCTCTTTCTGCGGTTCCTTAAATTTATTTTTAATATTTTCTGCATATCCAAATTAATTTAATTTGCTCATTTATTCATCAACTTTAAATATGTACTCTTACAAAACTGCAGGTTATTACAATAATCCTGCCAATGTTATTATCTGTTTATTTGTAGATATTCAATAAACCATTTCCATTCTTTTATAAAAAGTTTGTTATCTTGTTTTCTTATTTTTCTGGTAAGTTTTGTCATTTCTGCATATTCCATAAGTTTTTGAATCCATTCTTCTTTTGCTGGGACTTCTGCTTCTTTCCATTTTGGGGCAAGTAACATTCTTGCCACTGTAGTCACATATATGAATAAATTTCTATACAGTTTGAGTAGTTCTGTCCCTATTGAGAGCCAGTGTGGTGTAGTGGTTAAGAGTGGTGGACTCGTAATCTGGTGAACCGGGTTCGCTTCCCCGCTCCTCCACATGCAGCTGCTGGGTGACCTTGGGCCAGTCACACTTCTTTGATGTCTCTCAGCCCCACTCACCTCACAGAGTGTTTGTTGTGGGGGAGGAAGGGAAAGGAGAATGTGAGCCGCTTTGAGACTCCTTAAAAAGGAGTGAGGCGGGATATCAAATCCAAACTCCTCCTCCTCCTCCTCCTCCTCCTCTTCTTCTTCTTCTTCTTCTTCTTCTTCTTCTTCTTCTTCTTCTTCTATAATTCCCAAAAGAAAAGCTTCTGGGTTTGTTTGTTTTACAAACGTTATTTTAAGCATCATTTCAATTCACCATGTATATCATTTCCCAGTAAGCTTTAACCTTACTACAAGACTATAGTTACCAGATTTTTTTCCAATGAATCCGGGGACAATTTATTTATTTATTTAGGAAGCTGAGTAGCACCAGGGAGTCTGTAGTGGGGATGGTGAGGCCAAAGACCCTGGGCCCAAGCACACATGCAGATTGTATAAAGGTGCAAAGCCCTTCTTTCGCACCCTGTGAAACATAAATGAGTTTTTTTAAAAAAACTGGGGAACTGTGCACCTCCTGCCCGTGACTCCCGGGCCTTCCCCAATCTCCTTCTCCCTTCCCCCTTTGTTTTGGCAGATCAGGGGAGGCTCAAGAGTCACGGGCGGGTGGCCATTGCCCAGGAGGGGCCAGCCTGGTAGTGCAGTTGGCTCTGGCTGACTTCAGGAGCTGTTCGCTGCCATGGTGCAGGAAAAATGGCTGGCGCAACAGCAGCGAGCAGCTCCTGAAGCCAGCCAGAGCCAACTGCGCTACCAGGCTGGCACCGGTCTGCTGAGGCTGCCACTGCCACGTTTCCCGGGGACAGATTTGCAAATCCGGGGACTGCCCCAGGAACCGGGGACATCAGGTAACCCTATACAAGACCATCACATATGATAAAAAGAATCTTCTTTCTCTTTACATTTCCAACACTTATTTGATTTGGATTTATACATTTTTGCCAATTTACTCATTGTTAGGTACCATCGATATATCATTTTCATATAATTTTCTCTTAGACCATAACATGCTGTAAATTTTATATCCATATTCCACAATCGTTCCCATGCTTCCATATCCATATTATGACCGATATCTATTGCCCAATGTATGGTTGAGGATTTTGCTTGCTCATCCTTTGTCTCCCATTCCAATTATATTT